TTCTTTCATGCCTGGAGCAGACAGCGTAGTTGCAGGAAGGAAAATTAAAAGTAAAACACGTTACTGAATAAAGCAGCATTCATTTATCGAACATTTTATACATGTTTTGTATATATTAAAAAAGAACTCCAGGCAAAATAAATCTTAACCCTTGCAGTGGAGCTAACCCTGCGCTGCAAGGGTTAAGTGCTCATTTTGTCTAGGGAGCTAATAAAAAGTTATATTCACGCGAACCACGATCCTGGCTGGCTCTCAGACCGGTCCCTTCAGCCTCACTCTCCCCCGCTCCAGTGGTATAAGATCCTGTGAGTCATCCCATCCAATACAATGTATAACATGTGAGGACATCGAGGGACATACCATCACTGGAGCAGAGGAGAGGCTGCAGGGACAAGTCTAGCAGCAAGACGGGATACAATTCATGGTAAGTATATCCAGTGGCATCACAAGGGGGGTGCGGCCCGCACCCGGGTGCCACCATTGGAGGGGTGACACCAAAATGACTGACAGTCATTTTGGTGTCACCCTCCTTTGAAAAGTCGAGCACTCGGTCACAGCGGAGAGCCCAACAGTATTAGGAGAGAGGAGGGGACTCGACGGCATACCTCATCCCGCCGGGTGACTGTCCCCAGTCGACCATGCATGCGCGATGACGTCATGCCGTGGTGTCACCCGACTCCGCTCCGGGTGACACCCAGCCTCGGAATGCCCCTGAGTATATCCCTACTATCTTCCTTCCTAGACAAAATGAGCCCTTAAAGGAGAATTATGAGGCGAGTGATTTTCACTCAGCCTCATAATCTGAGCCGACTTGTGACAATGAGACTGTCACAGGTCAGCTCAGTAGATCGGGAAGATCGGGAAGTGAGCGAACACATACCGGCGCTCGCTCACTTCTCGATCTATCCCTGCAGAGAGCTGTGACTGTCACTCCTCCCCTCTCCGATCCTCCAGCGCTGACTGGCGAAACGGACGGGGGAGGGGGCGGGCACAGCTGGCTCTGCCTCTAGTTAGGCAGAGCCAGCTGTCAATCACGCAGCTGGGTGGATCCAGACAGAATTGTCGGGATCCGTCCCGGCTGCGGCGTCTCAGTATACCCCTAGCTGTAGCTCGCGATATACTGAGCTTTGGGTGACGGGAGGACGCTAGTTTTTGTCCTCCCCTGACCCTTAGAAGAACTATGGGGAAAAGCACTGACCCCTTAGTTCTCCTTTAACCCTTGGGGGGCGGGGGTGGCCCCACTGCAAGGGTTAAAATTTCCTTTGCCAAGAGTTCTTACATTTGAACTGCTTGCAAACTGCTAAATACAAAGGTGAAATGCTTATATAGGAGCTGTTTTATCCACTAAAGGATTTGTACTTCTGTACCTTCCAGTTCTGAGATTTACACAGCTCTACTCCACAGCACAACTCTGACTGGCAGGGGAGAGGACCTGATTTTTCTTTGCTACAGTTAGGTAACCTTTACAAGTCTCCTCCCTAATCCCAACATGTGAATGGTGAAAAGAAAAGAAGCGGACTTATGAGCTCATCTCTCTGTCACTCTAATCTCTCCTCCTATCAGCACGGTCCTTTGAACTGCAGCACAACAGATGGGCTTTTTTGTGCTGCTTCTTTATCCTCCAGTCTTAGCTCTGCTGTAAAGGGCCAGTCAGAGACCAAGTCAAACTTGGATACTTACACTGCTTGAATTGTAAAGATACATTTAATGGTGTATTAAAGGAAAACTATGGGGTAAGTGTTTTTCCCCATATTTCTCCTCAGGGTCACGGGAGGACATAAACTAGCGTCCTCCTGTGACCCAAAGCTCAGTATATCGCAAGCTACAGCTCATGGTATACTGAGACCGCAGCAGCCGGGACGGATCCCGACAATGCTGTCGAAATCCACCCAGCTGCGTGAGTGACAGCGGGCTCTGCCAGGGCTGTAACTACCATGGGGCGAGTGAGACATTTGGACATGATTCCAGTGATGCACCTGGCTGCCACCTATCCACCATTCCAGTGACACTGAAAGTGCACCTGGCTTGGTTTCATTGGGATGGAGATAGGTGGGTGCCGGGAAAGGACCCAGGGTAATGGATCACTTCCCTGGTGGCAGCCAGATGCACTCGAATGTTTCGCCAAAATGGTGGGTTGTAGCTAGGTGTCAGCCACGTGCACTGTCATTGTCACCTGGCTCCCACCTATCAACCATTCTAGGGACAATTCTGTAGGCTTCAAGCCTATTCTGTAACCCCCTCCCACTTATTAAGCACCATTGGCCACGCCCACCATTTAGCACAGTCCTGCCTACTACTCCACCCAAATTCTCATAAATTACCATTTTCAAAAGTTCTCAGGTATGCAAACATTGTTTAAAATACAAGAGTCATGTGTGTCCTTCCTTGAATCTTGTTGAGCTTTGTGTATGTATTCCAGATCTGTGCAGTAATCCAGTGTGAGACTTGGAGCTTCCTGTAATAAAGACCGCTCACTGCTAATGTTTCTCCTTGTGCAGGGTGACTGGTCTTGTCTCCGCCCCTTCCTGTAATAAAGACCGCTCACTGCTGCTCTCTCTCCTTGTGCAGGGTGACTGGTCTTGTTTGCGCCTCCTCCTGCTGACCTTATTGGCCCTAGACTATGTGCGTGTGCATTTGTGGGTATATATGACTGTGATCAAACATTAGATTGGAAGTTCCTCTGGGGCAGGGACTGATGTTTTTGGGTTTATGTTCTGCAGAATAAGTCAGCACTAAATACATATAATAACAATACTGTGATACCGTTTGTACTTATAGCGATTCTTTCCATAACTCTTTGCCAGTTTCAGGCCATCCCTGTTCATCTGAGTAGCCTGGTGTCTTGCTTCATTTTGCATGGCATTTCAGGGGATTGTTGTGTCCTGAGATCAAAGTAGCCTCTTTCAGTGTCTTAAAACATTTGAATGCTCTCTTCCCAAAATACCAGTAGCCAGAAAAAGAACTGGTTGTAGATAAAGGTCTGACGATAGAACAGGATTTTTCAAAATAAGAGGACAACAATGGTCTGTCCGCCCCTATGACATAATGACTGGATACTAAATTTAACTGTCTGTTCAGTATTGTTTCTCTTCCCATTCCTCATGTTAAGTTACTTTGTGACAGTTTCATCCTTTTATTATCTGCAGTTTTTTTAGTTTGATACATTCTATCAATAAAATAAAATGTCAGGCAGCAAAAATCATTATTGCAGAAAACAAGCAACATGGATTTATTTGTTTAATAAAGTTTTTTTTATTTTTTATTAAAGTTGAATTCTACTAAATATACAATAAAAATATCTATGTAGCTGTTGTATCTGCTAAATGATTAGTCCTGATATATACACAACTCTGCCCTATAGCATAGTCAGCCTAGTGACCTGATTTTTCTTTACTGAAGTGAAAGAAGAACTCAGGGTAATTTTTTTTATTAACCCTTGAAGTGGGGCTACCCAACACTGCAAGGCTTAACTGCTTAATCCTCCGAGCCCGATGGCTATTACATTGCTCCCTCCAGCCTCACTTCTACTATGTTGCAGCAATGGAATGTCCCTTAGCGTCGTTCTGTCTTATACACATTGTATAGAATGTGATAATTTACGGGACCTTAGACCACTGCAGAGGAGGGGGAGAGAGGCTAGAGCCCTAGACCAAAATGAGCAGTGAGGATACCCCTGCACTGCAAGGGTTACTTGCAGTGCAGGGGTATCCCCACTGCAAGGGTTAATTAAAAAATTGCCTGGAGTTCTTCTTTAAAGGAGAACTATGAGGTGAGTGCTTTTCACTCACCTCATAGTTCTAGCCGACCTGTGACAATGAGACTGTCACAGGTCGGCTCAGTAGATTGGGAGGTAATCGAACACATGCCGGTGTTCGCTCACTACTCGATCCTGTCACGGCTCTCTGCTGTGACAGGGGAGGGGCTGGATTCCCCCCTCCCCGCTCCGATCCGCCAGCGCTGACTGGCGGAACGGACGGGAGAGGGGGCGGGTACAGCTGGCTCTGCCTCTAGATAGGCAGAGCCAGCTGTCACTCACGCAGCTGGGCGGATCTCGACATCGATGTCGGGATCTGCTCTGGCTGCGGCGTCTCAGTATACCGCGAGCTGAGCTGTAGCTCGCGGTATACTGAGCTTAGGGTGACGGGAGGACGCTAGTTTGTGTCCTCCCGTTACACTAAGGAGAACTATGGGGAAAAGCCCTGACCCCATAGTTCTCCTTTAGGCAACACAGTTAGGTCATATCCCTGTTCACAGCCTGTGATTGGACAGTAAGGGAAAGCAACAGACTGATATGATAATCCCTTTACTCTGTATAGACAGTACATGGGCATGCAGGTCACCTGAATGTCTCCTAGTGTTGCCTTCCCATCTTCCCACCTGAGTGTTGCTGTACAGGGGATTAAAAAAGCCTATTATCATTATTATAATTATTATACAGGATTTATATAGCACCAACAGTTTGTGCAGCGCTTTTGCAATATAAGGAAGACATTACAATCACAATATCAATGGCCTAATATCATGGCCGGAAGTGGGGCAGAAGTGCAATCTGCGAGGAGTGGGTTGAGAGAGGAACTAGGTTGATTTTTCTCATAGTAAATAATGGTGGTCACGCAGACACATCCCCAACATATCTTTGCTGCTAACTAACCCTTATAATATTATGCAAGAACATTATAGAGTGCTGTATTGTACTGGTCCCTAAATACTGTCCAGTTGGAAAGAGTATTTCACAAAGGTACACAGTCAGGTTTGCCAGCTGTTAGTATATTGGCTGCCTATTCTAACTCTTAAGTTTGATCAAAAGTGAATTCATTCCTTATTACTACAGCACTACAAGTGAAACTTGGCCTCTGCAAATGTTGTACAAGCAGCTGACCAAAATTCAGAAAAAAATGTTGAACAAAGTATCGAAGTGGCACTGAAGTAGGTCATGATGTACTGCGATAACCATAACAGCATTTCAAATTTTTAACAAGTTTAATATTTTATCTCTACAGGATCCAAGTAAAGAATGTTTCACATTAAAGTTTGATCTGAATGTCGATATAGAGACGGAGATCGTCCCAGCCATGAAGAAGAAATCTCTAGGGTATGCATTTTAATTTTTGTGACGTGTAAGCGGTATGTTTGACATCCCAGCAGTGATTTCTTATGGAAGGCTGTCCATTAGTCTTGTTCAAATTGTTGAGTTGTTGACCTTAGCACCCAATCAGATGTTTTCCTTATTCTGAAAGCAAAGCGTCCACTGTCTTCTGCCAACAGCAGATGCCTACTATGTCCCTGATGGACTTTCAGCAGAGTGACTCCATAATCAGGTTTAAAGAAGTTAATTCTTTTTAAACAACTAATTTTAATAATTGGCCTCCACTTAAAAATATACACTATGCAGCCAGGGGTTTGTGGAGACCTGGCCATGAAACCTATATGAACTTGTTGGACCAAAACCATGGCCATTAACATGGAGCTGGCTTCCCTTTGTGAATGTAAAAGCCGCCACTCTTTTGGGAAGGATTTAGAAAAGATTTTGGAGTGTGTCTGTGGGGATTTGTACCCATTCCACTCTTTTGGGAAGGCTTTAGACAAGGTTTTGGAGTGTGTCTGTGGCGATTTGTACCCCTTCCACTCTTCTGGGAAGGCTTTAGACAAGATTTCGGAGTGTGTCTGTGGACATTTGTGCCCATTCAGCCAAAAGAGCATTTGTCAGATCGGGCAATGATGTTGGGCGACCTGGCTTGCAATTTGCATTCCAGTTAATCTCAAGGATGTTCAATGTGTTCAGTAGGGTTGAAGTCAGGACTCTGTGCAGGCCACTTGAGTTTATTCATACCAAACTAGTAAAAACATGTCTTTATGGAGCTGACTTTGTGCACGGTGGAACAGTCCTCCTGAAACAGAGAAGGGTCTTCCCCAAACTTTATTATGAGGTTGGTCACCCACAATTGTCTAAATATTGTTTTGTATGCTGTAGCATTAACAGTGCCCTTCAATGGAAACATCTGAACTCAAAAATGTGTAAGAGGTGTTCACATATTTATGGCTATATTGGTAGGTCTTATGGTCAGCTGACCACCTTTTGCCCATATACTGTAGCTGTTTTTGGACATTCTAAAACATAACAGCATGTAAAATGTGAATATAACATCATGTACAATAAATATTAAAGTTTATTTTCCAGACTTCAGTAACTCAATTAAAAGCTTAGTGTCTCTGTACATTTAAAGCAGAAAAAACAGTCAATTCTTGATTTATATTGGTTTTACTACAGCAGACTGAAATGTTATTACCTGCTACATTTAGTACACTTTGCAGTCAGCCATCAGACATGTTTTATTAACTATTAACTATGTCTGCATGTCTTTTAAAGTTGAAACAATTTCAAAATACCACATTAAATTACTTCTGAACGTGTATTTTATTTGTAGTATTTGTGACTGTATACATGTTATACTGCCCTGGTATAACTAGTGCAAACAGAACATACTTTATACAATCCCTTATGCAGACTTTGTAGCCTCTCAAAAATAAGAATTCCAGGTATCTCGGCAAAGTCAAGCGGAGAATTCCAGCGCCGTTTCATCCCAGGGAGAGAATCGACCCTCATCGGTTTGTCATTTGGTGTCTCATGTTCAGACAGTTATCAAAGAGCTTTGAGAACAAAAAGGTCATTCTGTAGATTAAAGATTGTCACACTGGTGATGCTCTTTTTCATGATAGAGACTGGCTCACTAACATTGGACGCGGCTCATTTATACAGTATGGCCCCTCATTGAGCCGCCACTCTGACCTTTAAATCAGGAATGCAAGTGAAAGGTCACAGAGATACTTTGTATTTGAGTTTGGAAAGGTGAATCTGTAGCAAAGATAACTCAATTTAAGCTCATTTTTCTTCAAACATTCTATACATGTTGTATGGAATTCCATTTGGCATTTGCCTGTATTGCTGTCTTAACCTCTTGGCTGACAGGGTAAAGTGAACCTGTCAAGAGAGAAGAATGAAGGCTGCCATTGCTGGCCTCCTTCTGAAAAATCCTTGGTGATTGGATGTGTCTAACTTCAATAAACTATATGGTGAATCATTTGTTAACACCTGACTATCACACCTACAGTATATAAGCTTGTTGGACATCCCATTCTGTAACCATGGGCAATTTTATGGACCTCCCGTCCCTTTTGTGGCTCCTCTGGGAAGGCTTTCCACAAGATTTTGGAGTTTATCTGTACAAATGCATGCCCATTCAACCAAATTAGCATTTTTGAGAAAAGGTGATTCCAAATTTGCTCCATATTTCATGAATTCAGATACCTGAGCCAAATCCAAATCTCAGTATTATTTTCAGCAGTTAAGGTTTCCAAAAGGTTTCTGGGAGAAAGAGGCCAAAGGCTGTTCATACCTTACAACTGCTTCTGCTGTTGCCTAGGCACATTTAGTTGATTGCTAGTGCTTCCAGGTCCCACCCTTCTATCTTAGTATCCCACAAATAATTTGTAATTGTCTCAGGCTGTTCTTTTAACCCCACCATCTTATCAGGCAGAACTACCATGAGCCTCCCAATCCATTCTGCACAATTTTGCATCATTTGCTGCTCTGCAATACACACTTTTTGGTGCCTTGTTCAGAATCCAAAAAAACTGTAATGGTTTGGAAATTCATATTTTTGAACACTTTAGACAAGTTCAACCAAATCACAACTGATCAAACATTTTAGAAATTTAGTTACTAATAATTAGAAGGTTAGGCACTGATGTTGGATGAGGGGACTTGGCTCGCAACCAAATTCATACCTAATGTGTTCAGTAGGGTCAAGGTCAGGGCTCTACGCAGACCAATCCAATCCCTCTAATCCCTCTACACAAAACTCATGCAACTGTTTCATTTTGGTGCTGTCTTGTGCATAGGAGCACAGATTGACTCAGACAGCAATGAACTCATGACAGCCAGAAACTTGCATTCTCAAAAAGAAAAGTCAGCAACGACAGTCACCATAATTCTTTTACTTCATTTAGGTTTTCCTTCAGAGGTCATAAAATTATTCTTTCTGTACTTGTAAATAGTTGTGGATACCGGAGTATCTGGGTCATTGAGCATTCTCTGTTTTACTAACACATCTCACTCTCTACGTTTCAGAGAAGTTTTGATACCAGCGTTTGAGAGGAAAGGGATCGAGCTCGGTAAAGTGGAGATATTTCTCGACCAGTCCAACACACCTCTGTCTCTCAACTTTGAAGCGTATCGCTTTGGAGGCCACTATTTGAAAGTTAAAGGTAATAATGACCAACTACGTAAGCTTTTCAGCCATATGGGCTAAGCAGCCTTAATCAACTGGAAAACATTCGGTACTTGTTTGTAACTCTATTTGGATCTAATTAGTTACAATATTTCCGCCAAGCTGTGAACTTTGCTTCCAATGAAAATGTTATTGACCAGGTAGGGGCATTACTTTCTGTTGTCTGGTTGTCGCAGGCAAAGTTCATCTTGCACTGCCATTTATCAGAGGTTCCTTGACATTGCATGCAGTGCAATCCTGTTACTGGCAAGTTGCCACCAGGGACAGGATCTCTAGTGTAACCTGGGCCTTAGCATTAAATCCCAGGTGATGATCTCAGAAGCAGAGGATAAGCAAAGGGAATGTGTGTGTATATATATATATATATATATATACACACACAGTGTATTATTATTAGATGCTCATGTTGATCTGTTATTAAGACCTATTAAATATGTATAGCTTGTAAAAGGAGGCAGTCATATTTGCTCATGCCATGTGCTGGTACTGCTTCTTGCTTAAAGGAAAACTGTCACATGAGAAACCTAAAGGCTGCCATTGCTCACATCTTTTTCAGAAAAAGTTAGTTGTCATGTTGACCCTCTGGATTCAATTTAGAGTCTGTCCCGGAAGCAATAAACAGATTAGGACATCTGGCATTTCTCTTCCTTTTCTGGCATACTTTTTCTGGGTCCAGCATGCCACCCAGTTAGCGTTTTTCAGAAGAAGCTCAGCAATGGTAGTCATTCTATTTGTCTTATGACAGGTTCACATTAAAGCTGGCCATACACCTTACAATTATCTGCAGATTTTCTGTGGTCAGATGGAAAAGGGTGCAACAGATTCCTCCATCTACACTTAACTGTGTGGATGGAGTAATCTCCACCTGGGCCAATCTGTTTCACTTTTTCCACCTGACCACAGAAAATCTGCCGATAATTGTAAGGTGTATGGGCACCTTAACAGTGCTGCACAGTGACTGTGCTTCACTGCTCTTTCCTCTCCCTTCAAGCCTGTACACGTTCAGCACACTTACTGAAAATTCCTAATCGCCTCCCAAATGTTGCCTGCAGGAATAATTATTTGGCATTTCCTGAAACCCGTTGGAGTTGTTTCCTTGGTGCTTTTGCCTGAGGGCAGTGACTACATTTGGGCAGTGCAAATTCCCAGAGGGCATGCTTTCATTTTACCATCTACACGACAAATTAATCGGAATAGAATTGAAAAGACAGTCTGTAAAGATGATTCTTTTTGTTTCACATTAAAGTTGGGAAACCCCAGTAAGAAGGATGCAGGTTCAGGAAGAGGCAGGCAGGATGTGGCTGTATTGTAGTGCGATGCAGACAGAACGACCGGACTAGCAGAGAGTGTTATGAGCGCTGGGAGCAGGGAGCGACGGGGACCTCCACTACTGCAAGGTAAATACGTCTCTCTTATTGATCCTAAAAGGCAAGATTATCATACGGAAACTCTCCCTAAGGTTTCCTATACTCACAATTCAGCGCACCTTTTTTTCTTGAGATTTTCCTCTCCGACATTGAGTTCAGCACTCACTATAGTTATTTTCTACATTGAATCACTTATTGCGCGCTTTATATACCAGTGCGCTAATGTGTAAAGCAAGAAACCATGTTTCTTCCTACTACCTGGCGGATGCATGTTGCACCTAATTATATCTTTATTTCCACTGTTCAGCACACATCAGCAATATCCCTGTTTTTGCCTCCAGGGCATTATTTGAACAGTGCAAAACTTCCCCAGCACACAATCCTATAGTTGTCACAAAAAGACCTGATCAAACTGTTTCAAAATTGAGGTTAAAAAGGGAGGTTGCATACAAATGCATATGATGCCAATTAGGAATGTTCAGATAAGGAATACCATACTCGGTGAGAGAGAGAGAGAGAGAGAGAGAGAGAGAGAGAGAGAGACTGTATACAAATAAAATGCTTGCTGAATTAAGTCAGGCGTGCTGTTTGCACAGAGCTGATTCCACCCATCCGAACACAGTAAACCTGAGAGGGAGAGAGACACGAATACACTGAAATAGGTAACCCAATCCTCCTCTAAGGTGCAGCAACACACCACAATTCCAGACTCACCCAAGACAGCTGAAGCTCGAATCCAATGCAACAAGCATTTTGCTGGGGCCCTGATTGGACATGCTGGGCTTTCTCCACTGCTTTCTGTTTTGTCATCAAAAGTGAATAAAATATTGGATGAAAAGTTCCAACCATTCCAATCACTAGCAATGCTAGTCTTCAGCCTAAATACATGCATGCTGGGAAAATACTCATACTAGTGCTAAATGTATGTTGCCCATTTATGGCAGGCCTGGGACTAAAGAAGCAATATTACTGTTGTTACTTTTGCTATTCCTATTGCTTCTATCTATTACTATTGTATAGTCATTTGGATTTGTTAAGCTATAATGGGAATGATTCATACATGTAAAGATCCAGAAAATGAATGTTAGTATTGAACTTGTCTTTTATCTAATGCAGGCCAGAATATGAAAGCTGACAGGTGACTCCTGACTGGCTGCTGAGGGCCGAAGACCCTCATTAATGCTAGGTTTAGGCAATCAACTTATTGCAGTAGCACTAAGCTAGCTATACACATCGCCATTAACTGGCAATTGATACTGCTTTGAATCCACTTAACGGTGGCCACACTCATACTGATATGATCATTCGATAGACTGATGAGTGCAACGAAACAGTTTGGATCGCACATCAAGCATATTAAACACACTGCCTGATCAATAACAAAGACAATCGATTGGGTTCAACTGATAGACATCAATCGGTCAGTACAGAAATGTGTAAATTGTTTTGCATCGAGTGTCTATAGAGTGTGCAAAATGAGAACCAATTGTAGGTACCAATCAATTATACAGGTGTCTCAATTTGTTGTTGATTGACACTGATGACCAGCCGACATCAAGAGGAGTATCCATGTGTATTGAGTCGTTTGATACGTCCATCTTATGCTTACTTGCTTGTGTTCTATTCAGTCATAAATTTCAACTTGCATGGTGGGCATAAGATCACAAATATGATTGAAGACAATAGGAAGAAAAGTTACATCCTACCTTATAGAGAATTCAATGATAATTAAAATGCAATGTGATTGTAAAAATAGGTACAGCCGAATTGCGACTAAATTAACATTATATTGAACCCAGCAAGAGCGTTTGCAATTAGAAAGCACTTGTTTTAATTGTTTCGATCTCATCAAATATCAGTTGATTGATGATACATTCAATTATTTTATGGTGTTAATAAAAAAGAAAATCACATCCAAAGTGCAGTGGACTGATCAGATTTTCATATGTATGCTCATCATGAATCCGTTATTTGGTGACCTGTTCACATCATGTACCCAGGCACGCGTTTTCTTGCTGGCACAGTGTTGTTAAATTGAATCAGAATCACAGGAAAAAGAACTGCAGGCCAAAGCCTATGTGTCCATTTGGACCTGCAGGTGCTTTGCTTTAGGTAGATACACTGTAAGGGCAAAATGTTTGTGGCCACCTGACCATCACACCTATAAGCTTGCCGGACATACCATTTCAAACCCATGGCCATTGATATGGAGTTGGCAACCATTATGGCTATAAAAGTCTCCTCTCTTCTGGGAAAGCTTTCCAAGATTTTGAAGGGTGTCTTCGAGAATTTGGGCCCATTCAGCTAAAAGCATTTGTGAGGTCAGCAAATGATAGTGGACGAGAAGACCTGGCTTGTAGTAGGCATTCCAATTCATCCCAAAGGTGTGTAATAAAATTGGGGTCAGGGCTCTGTGCAGGCACTTAACACCACACTAAACATATCATGTCTTTATGGAGCTGGCTTTGTTTACAGGGGCACAGAGAAGGGCCTTCCCCAAACTGTTACCGAACAGTTGGAAGAGCTCAGTTGTCTAATATGACATTGTATGTTGTAGCATTAACAGTTCCCTTTACGGGAATCATCTGAGCTCAAAAGGGGTGTCTACATACTTTTGGCCATATACTGTACGAGACTTAAAAATATATATATATTTGTATTGATATGAAGGCTTGCTTTTGTGAGAATTGCAGGAGTAGCTGACAGGAAAAAGGAAATTTGGGATGGAATTAGAGGTTTATGAAATGCATTGTTCTCTGTTGCTGTGAGCATAGAAGTAATTCTTGGCATGGATGAAAAATACAGACCCCCCTCCCCCCCAAGACCTATTGTTAATGCTAATTAACCCTGAGGCCCGGGTTGCATTTCTTTGAAGCCTCCTGGGGCTGCACTGGCGGTTTCCTATTGCCTTGAAAAAGTTTCCTGCAGAATTTAGGAGAGGACGTCACTCACGTTCAATGGAGATCACATGATCAGTCTTTCAAAAACGTATATGTTAGTTCCTGGTGGAGGGTCATAGGTTAAATCGGCAAGCACTGTTGCTGTAACGAAAATTCGTATTCAGACCCATTCAGATGCATTAAGCTGAAAAACACATCTGATTGGCCGGAAAAGTCACATTTTCGGATTCAGTTTAGTTTTTGAACGACATTCGGACAGGATCCGAAATTCGGAAAAATGCCCTTTGCCTTTACGAAATTTTTGATCTGAAATCCTGAAATTCGGATGCATTGGGATTCGGAAATTCGGATGTGTCCGAATTTTGGAAAATTCGTCTGAATTTTGATTCGGATCAAATCGCACATGTCTAGTCTTCAACAGGAAGACTGCCGCTTGCGGGACTTGCACATTATGAGAGCTGCCCCACTGAAAACAGAAATCTCTACAAGCTTTAGATGGAGGAAAAGCACTTCAATCGCACAGCAATGGGGTCCTCTTTGACTTGCTCATTATGTCCCCTTGCCACAGTTCTCCATTTCATAAGATTTGAATTGCAGATTGCATGTTGCGTAATTGGTAAACAGGTGTCTGTGACATAACTGGGCTCCTTCCAGTTAGCACTGTATCTGTTCCCAGTCCGTTTTCTCGGTACACACATATGGCAGAGAAGGATAAGCAAGCTGTTCAGTTAATTTCTGATCTTTTCTGCTTGCTGTTTTGGTGTATTTCATCCAAGACCGCCCTGCCAGCGAAACAAAATATCGGGAGGATTACGGCATTTGTTTCTTCGCAGAACTGCAGTTCATAGAACCAGGCCACGTCTGGCTCAACGATACAATAAACAGGCTTTATTGTGGTTGACATTTTAATATGTCTCTCCAGCCAATATCTCTTCTGTTTGTTTGTAGTTTTTTACAGAATAAAGCTGGCCATAGAGGAATCTGCTGAATCAGCTAAAATTCGAGCCATGCAAGCACCACCTGGCTCAACAAAACCTAAATTAAAAATTGGCTTAGCCGAGTGGAAAATTATCAATTAGACTATGTATGTCAGTCAGATTAGGACTTTGGTCTAAAAACTTTAAGGGCATTAAGGGCTAAATTCGGAAGTCAATGGAGGGTCAGTTGACTTGCAATCGTACCTTCCGATCCGTTGCATTGCTATCCGTTTTTCAATGGATGCTAATGCAAGGGCACTGAAAATTAATGGGTGTGAATGGGGCTCGTTCACTTTGCTGCATTGTGTTCCTTAGCTCTGAAAAAAAAGTAGAGCACATTCTACCTTTTTATTCAGCACAACGTAACGCAAAGGAGCGATGTGAACTGATCTCCTTCACAACTATTCATTTTTTGGGTTACCTTCCGTTGACATCCGTTGGTTACTGCTGCAGGACCAAGGATCGGGTGTGTATATCTTCTTTATTTTCGTCCCTAGAGAAAAATGAGCAGATAACCCTTGCAGTGGGGCTACGTACTGGTAATTTTTTTAAATCCTGGAGTTCTTCTTCAAGCAACACAGCTAGGTCATCTCCCAGCCCCAGCCTGTGAATGGACAGTGAAGGAGCAGCAATTGACTGATGACAATCTCTCTGCTCTTTGCTCCTGTTAGCAGAATACCTAACACTACCCAGGGCCGGATTTACTCTCTCTGCTGCCCCAAAGCCAGGTTCCTCAATGAGCCCCCCTACCCGCCAATCCGCCCCCCCCGGAGAATGAAAGACCTGCAAGCTGCATACAAGAGATCTCGGCGACATCGCTGGGATCACTTGTGCAAAACAAGCGGCGACTTCCCCGCTGTACATTTAGCTCTGCTTACCCAAAGCAGAGCCAAATGTAAAAAACAGCCGGCGCCCGGAACTGCGTGTCCTGGGCACCAGGAGAAAGGAATTCCACACCCCTGCTGCCCCTCTACTCCCTGCTGCCTTGGTTGGCATTGTGGGAAATCCAGCCCTAATACTACCCCTTCCGACTCCCAGTGGAGTTGGTGTAGATTTAGTTACATGAGGCTAAAATAATGTAAAATCCAGGTATAAATTTAACAATGTTTAATAAATACATCAAATGGTGTTTTTTTTAATACGTTCCCGGGATTCAGCTTCTTATGAAGTCCATTATTTTCGTCTGTGAGATGCCATTCTTCTGTTTTATACACATGATAAACTAAGTAGTGTTTCTGTACTTGCAGCTAAGCCAGGGGATGAGCTGAAGGTGGAGCAGGCTGTGAAGGATTTCAGGTCGTTAAGTTTACCCATCATGAGGAACACCGGGACAACATCCACTTTTATTTTCAACCTTCCAAATGAGAGGTCCGAACAGCCACCATTCAAGAAAGAGAACTCTGACATCTTGGTAAGTCACTCTGAAAGCTTTCTAGAACACGTCTGGACTATTACATTGGCATAGATGGCAATGACTGGATGAAGGAGTGTTCTGCTTTAAGCATTATGGGCTGATGGATCCAATTATTTTGTGCATCCCTGGAATACATTCTTACGAGGTTACAGTAACAAACTGATACATAAAATTACAGCCCGCCCAGTGATCGAGGAAGCTTTTTCTGAATGTCTTTACTAAGCTTAGCTTGGCATTATCAAGGAGTATGCTATGAGCCAGACGTAGTGTAGAGCTCCTCTGCTTTCATGTACTTTGGTATTCATTTGCACACAGCCAGTCAATTACCTTAAAACTGATATCACTTTCTCACATAGTAAAAAAGGGTCCCTTTTGCCCACCAGAACAGGTAATTTACCCCTTGTCTACCACCGTATATTTATGAATAACAAAGTGGTGAACTTTGGTGAACTAAACGTCATTGCAGAAATAACTCTTGGACGACCAATGCGCCCATTAATGGCTGTAAAATGAGCTGCCATCAGACGGCTCGGATTATAGACATGGTGTACAGAGCTGATCCGAGTGACTCTGAACCATGGGATCGCTGTGATGACCAAGAATGTTACTTGTAAATTCTAGGGAGGTGACCCTGGTATGCAGTTGGGTTATGTACTGTTTGACCTGCTCAATCACATTTTTGCAGGGCCTCATCTATGAGGGTTGCAAATGTCTCTAAATCTGCTTTAAAGCCTGCTTCGCTATGGCGAAGGCACATCATAGCCTGAGGTCTGTGTCCTTAATGGCCTCTAATTCTTGTGAGGCTTCTGTTTGTAATGGTGATGTTGCAGGAAAGATGAAGGGTGCTAATATCTCGGAATCAGGAGCGGACGCTGGTACCTGTGGGTCCACAGGCTCCTGGCTGGGTATGGAAGACAGTTGGCAGCCTTTGCTGTGGTCCAGAGATTTCTGCTTACAGCTGCCATCTTGGATTTGTTTTAGTTGGTAGGATCAGTGGCTTGTGCAATCAGGAAGTGTTGCATTTCTGACAATTTGGGGGCCGCAAGGGTTTTCTGTGTCATCCACTGTGTTCTGTATTGTTGTAAGCCCTTCCATGTGCACCTTGCTACGAAGGCTATTTATAAATTGTGCGGAGATATTTCTGGTTCTCTTTGGCTGCAATGCTCGATTGGTGCAAGGCTCTGGTCACGTGTTCTATCGCTAACCTCAACTACCGGAATATCCTCCTTAGACAGTTGTCACTAGCACAGGTGTCAGCATTGGAAGAGTTACCCTCACCTCTTGTGTTGGTGATGACTGTTACATTTTGGATTTCCCATCACTTTTTCACTAGGGGATAATAGTCATAAGGACAAAAAGAAGAGGTGAATCTATCCATCAGAGGCCAATCAGGCCATTTGCTGACAAGAAGCAAGATGATAGGAGGAGAAGAGTGGCAGAGAGATGAGCTCATCACTGTGCTGCTTCTCTTTTCCCTGTCCAGTCACAGTCTGAGCTGGGTCCAGATGACCTGGCCTGAGACTGAGGACATCTTGTGGCAGAAAAGAAGTACTGCGGGTAAAATCTCTGCATTTTAGCTGAATATTGCAGAATAAGTTGGTTTTGTAATTGTATCTTTTACTGGGCTATCTATTTTTATCTTGCTGTTTTTGTCTGGGGTCCTGCTTTAAAATAGGATCACTTTTTTTACATTAAAATTGCTTACGGTACTTTGATTCTCTAACATTATTATATATATTTTTTGCAGGAAATGTGATTACGTAGCGACAAAAACCGTATGTTCTCACACAGCTGTGTTTGATCTATAATTATCATTATCCCCCTGCTTGGTCGCTCCTCTGTGTTAATTGTGCTTTAAATACCATGAGCAGACCCCAGCATGGCGTTGGCGTATTTTTAGAAGACACGTAAAGCAGGGCTGGCATTTCAATTTGTTTTCTTTTGTAAATAATTATAAGGAAAGCATAACACCTACCATATAAAAGCAGTGGGGAGGATGCATGGGAACAATGGGCTGGAGAAAAGAACACACTGAGGAGGGGCGACTAGAAGAGACGGATACACCAAAGGCTTACGCCACCTTAGCAGCACTCCTGGGGGATGTGAAATAGAAAGGTGGTATAATCTTTGTTCTGGGAATGTGTCTCAAGCCTCCATTGCCTTGCAGATTTCACAGATGTCTTTACCCTGTTCAGTTTTGCTAAATAACACCAGCGCTTAGGCAGTCAATCTCTGATTTGTTTTTATAATGCCTCTCATACATCAGCACACAACGGGTTCTTTTCCTTGGTAGTGTGAGCAGGTAGCACCGGAAAGAAGAATTAGGGCAAGCATGCAAAGAATAGTTGTTTTGTTACAGTGTATCCATAGTTTTCAGCTTCAGCTAAAGGAGGGTTAAAACTCCTTTCAGTTATTATTTATCACCGTGTGCCAGATTTCACTTCACTTCCTGTCCTGGAGACACAACAGGAAGTGACAGGAAATCTCTCCAAAATGAGGGGAATTCCTGTTTATTTGTTACCGGAAAAGGTGTCCCTACAGAAAGATTTTCCCTCTGTTGCATTTGCAGTAACAGGTATAACATGTTGGTTTTGCCATCACTTTGATCATTTTCACCAGGAAAAATTGAGAGGGTGAATCTCACCGGCAGGGACACAGGTAGATATTAAAACCTGAGATAGGTTTAGATGGAAGAGGAGCGCTGGACCCCTGGGTATGCGCTTGTTGGGGTGGTTAGTGTTTTAGGGGCTGTGTAGGTCTGTAGGTGTCTCTCAAGTCTCAAGGACACTGTGAGGCATCCCTTAAGAAATTAGAAAGAAAGGGTGGAGGTAAAAGCACCACTCCGCTGTGTGTATCTAGAACACCACTCCACCGTGTGAGCCCAGAACACCACTCCATCGTGTGAGCCCAGAACGCCACTCCACCGTGTGTGCCCAGAATGCCACTCCACCGTGTGAACCCAGAACACCACTCCATCGTGTGAGCCCAGAACGCCACTCCACCGTGTGAGCCCAGAACACCACTCCATCGTGTGTGCCCAGAATGCCACTCCACCGGGTGAGCCCAGAACACCACACCATCGTGTGAGCCCAGAACGCCACTCCATCGTGTGTGCCCAGAATGCCACTCCACCGGGTGAGCCCAGAACACCACTCCATCGTGTGAGCCCAGAACGCCACTCCACCGTGTGAGCCCAGAACACCACTCCATCGTGTGTGCCCAGAACACCAAACCATCGTGTGAGCCCAGAACGCCACTCCATCGTGTGTGCCCAGAATGCCACTCCACCGTGTGAGCCGAGAATGCCACTCCACCGTGTGTGCCCAGAATGCCACTCCACCATGTATGTGTTCAGAAGGCCACTCCACAGTGTGTGCCCAGAACGCCACTGCACCGTGTATGCCCAGAACGCCACTGCACCGTGTGTGTCCAGAACGCCACTCCACCGCGTGTGTCCGGGATACCACTCCACCGCGTGTGTCCGGAACACGACTCCACGGCGTGTGTCGAACACCACTCCACAGCGTGTGTCCGGAACACCACTCCACCGCGTGTGTCCAGAACACCACTCCACCGCGTGTGTCCGGAACACCACTCCACCGCTTGTGTCCTGAACACCACTCCACCGCGTGTGCCCGGAACAACACTCCACCGCGTGTGTCCGGAACACCACTCCACCGCGTGTGTCCGGAACACCACTCCACTGCGTGTGTCCGGAACACCACTCCATCGCGTGTGTCCGGAACACCACTCCACCGCGTGTGTCCGGGAACACCACTGCACCGCGTGTGTCCCGAACACCACTCCACCGCATGTGTCCGGAACACCACTCCACAGCGTGTGTCCGGAACACCACTCCACCGTGTGTGTCCGGAACACCACTCCACCGTGTGTGTCTAGAAAACCACTCCACCATGTGTGGCCAGAACATCCAGAATGTAATTTTGTGCTCTGTAAAAACAGGCAAACACGTCTCAGGGGCTCTGTGGTTCCCTTCTTTAGGGCTGAAGTACAGTAGGTCAAATTCAGGCTGTTAGGCGTGGTCCCCATAGGACCATGTTAGCGTGGACGTGCACTGCACACATGCCATTTTATTCAATGGTACTATTCATATGTATGTGGTTGACTACTGTGCACATACAAGTAGAAGTTTCTGAGCACCTATGGCAGCGACACATGTTAAAAGATGCTTGAAAATGAATCTAAAATGCAAGCAATATAAGCTTCCTCCTACAATCCTGTCCACCAGACATGCCCATATTGCAAGCCTTGCCAAACAGAATTACAAATCCTTAGGCAGATGCAAGTGAGTTCACATATATGTAAATGACTGCATGTTTGGTGTACAGCTTTTCACATTATAACAGGCAACAGGAATCGTACTGTAATTAGGAAAAAGGAAATGGTGCTTTATGTTTGTTCAATATTGATGTACATAAATATCTGCTGACTACAAATTCTAAGGCCATGTCTTTAAATACTGTCCCTGGAAGCTAGGTGCCACGTAGTAAGCAGCTGTCGGAAAGAAAGGGCTATAGCCTCAGTTGATCTATTGGCCAGCCATTTCCCTTCACTGTATTGCCTTATTTCCTGCTGTCTAGCGTTGAATAAACAGTGTGACCCGAGCACATTGTGTGAGAGAGTTCCTTCCCCATAGTGTCAATAGGAACATGTTGGAGGCGCTCCAGAAGGGCAGGAACTGGCCCGTCCATGGCCTTGACAGTCAGTTCAAAGAGCCTCTTACAACACCATGCAGCCAAGAATTCTCTCAGGTTTCTTGACCCCAAGTGGGTGGCTTTGCTCCTTATACTTTACATTTCAGCATTATTTGAAAAGTTGACAACTTAAGACGGCCGCGGCCCTGTTTTGGCAAGCTCAACAGGATGTGTAGGCCTTCCGTGATAGGGAATGGAAATTTGAATAAAGCATAGCCGTTGACTAACACTCCATAGGGTGGAATAACATTTTGCTTGGATGAAAATGGATTTTGCACATTT